TTAGAGACCTACAAAGAGACTTAGACTCCCACACAATAATAGTAGGAGACTTTAATACCCCACTGTCAGTATTAGATAGATCAATGAGACAGAAAATTAACAAGGATATTCAGGACTTGACCTCAGCTCTGGATCAAGTGGACCTAATAGACCTAACAGAACTCTCCACCCCATATCAACAGAATATACGTTCTTCTCAGTGCCACATGGCCCTTATTCTAAAATCAACCACATAACTGGAAGTAAAACTCTCCTCATCAAATGTGAAAGAACTGAAATCATAACCATCTCTCAGACCACAGTGTGATCAAATTAGGACTCAGGATTAAGAAACTCACCAAAACCACATGATTACATGGAAATTGAACAACCTGCTCCTAGATGACTCCTGGGTAAATAATGAAATTAAGGCAGAAATCAAGAAGTTCTTTGAAACCAATGAGAACAAAGACACAACGTACCAGAATCTCTGAGACGCAGCTAAGGTAGTGTTAAGAGGGAAATTTATACCACTAAATGCCCACACCAGAAAGCTAGAAAGATCTCAAATCAACACCTAACATCACAATTAAGCACTAGAGAGGCAAGAGCAAACTAATCCAAAAGCTAGCAGAAGACAAGAAATAACTAAGATCAGAGAAGAATTGAAGGAGACAGAGACAAGAAAAAACCCTCCAAAAATTAATGAATCCAGGAGCTGTTTTTTTGAAAAAAATTAACAAAATAGATAGACCACTAGCTAGATTAATAAAGAAGAAAAGAAAGTAGAATCAAATAGACACAATAAAAAGTGATAAAGGGGATATCACCACTGACCTCACAGAAATACAAACTACCACCAGGTAACACTATAAACACCTCTACACAAATAAACTAGAAAATCTAGAAGAAATGAATACATTCCTGGACACATACACCCTCCCAAGACAAAATCAGGAAGAAGTCAAATCCCTGAATAGACCAATAACAAGTTCTGAAATTGAGGCAGTAATTAATAGCCTACCAACAACAAAAAAGCCCAGGTCCAGATGGAGTCACAGCTGAATTCTACCAGAAATGCAAAGAGGAGTTGGTATCACTGCTCCTGGAACTATTTCAAACAATTGAAAAGGAGGGACTCCTCCCTAACTCATTTTATGAAGCCAGCATCATCCTGATACCACAACCGGGAAGAGACACAACAAAAAAAGAAAGCTTCAGCCCAATATTCCTAATTAACATAGATGCAAAAATCCTCAATAAAATACTGGCAAAACAAATCCAGCAGCAGATCAAAAAACTTATCCACCACTATCAAGTTAACTTCATCCCTGGGATGCAAGGCTGGTTCAACTTGTGCAAATCAATAAATATAATCCATCACATAAACAGAATCAAAGACAAAAGCCACGTGATTATCTCGATAGATGCACAAAAAGCCTTTGATAAAAGTCAACATCCCTTAATGTTAAAAACTCTTAATAAACTAGGTATTGATGGAACATATCTCAAAATAGTAAGAGCTATTTATGACAAACCCACAGCCAATATCATACTGAATGGGCAAAAGCTGGAAGCATTCTCTTTGAAAACGGGTACAAGACAAGGATGCCCTCTCTTACCACTCCTATTCAACATAGTATTGGAAGTTCTGGCCAGGGCAATCAGGTGAGAGAGGAAAATAAAGTGTGTTCAAATAGGAAGAGAGGAAGTCAAATTGTCTCTGCTTGCAGACGACATGATTTTATATTTAGAAAACCCCATCATCTTGGCCCAAAAACTCCTTAAACTGATAAGCAAGTCCAGCAAAGTCTCAGGATACAAAATCAATGTGCAAAAATCACAGGCATTCTTTTACACCAACAATAGACAAGCAGAGAGCCAAATCATGAATGAACTCCCATTCACAACCACTACAAAGAGAATAAAATACCTAGGAATACAGCTAACAGGGGATGTGAAGGACCTCTTCAAGGAGAACTACAAACCACTGCTTAATGAAATAAGAGAGGACACAAACAAATGGAAAAACATTCCATTCTTTTGGATAGGAAGAATCAATATTGTGAAAATGGCCATACTGTCCAGAGTAATTTATAGATTCAATGCTATACCCATCAAACTACCATTGACATTCTTCACAGAATTAGAAAAAACTATTTTAAGTTTCATATGAGAACAAAGCTGGAGGCATCACTCCGCCTGACTTCAAACTATACTACAAGGCTACAGTAACCAAAATAGCATGGTACTGGCACCAAAACAGATATATAGACCAATGGAGCAGAATAGAGACCTCATAAATAACACCACACATCTAAAACCATCTGATCTTGGACAAACCCGACAAAAACAATGGGGAAAGGATTCCCTATTTAATAAATGGTGCTGGGAAAACTGGCTAGCCATATGCAGAAAACTAAAACTGGACCCCTTTCTTACACATTATACAAAAATTAACTCAAGATGGATTAGACTTAAATGTAAAACCCCAAACTATAAAAACCCTAGAAGAAAACCTAGGCAATACCATTCAGGACATAGGCATGGGCAAAGACTTCATGACAAAAATGCCAAAAGCAATTGCAGCAAAAGCCAAAATTGACAAATGGGATCTAATTAAACGAAAGAGCTTCTGCATGGCAAAAGAAACTAGCGTCAGAGTGAACAGGCAACCTACAGAATGGGAGAAAATTTTTGCAATCTATCCATCTGACAAAGGTCTAATATCCAGAATTTACAAGGAACTTAAACAAATATACAAGAAAAAACAACCCCACCAAAAAGTGGGCAAAGGATATGAACAGATACTTCTCAAAAGAAGACATTTACACAGCCAACAAACATATGAATAAAAGCTCAACATCGCTGATCATCAGAGAAATGCAAATGAAAACCACAATGAGATACCATTTCATGCCAATCAGAATGGTGATTATTAAAAAGTCAGGAAACAATAGATGCTGGCGAGGCTGTGGAGAAATAGGAACGCTTTTACACTGTTGGTGGGAATGTAAATTAGTTCAACCATTGTGGAAGATAGTGTGGTGATTCCTCAAGGATCTAGAACCTGGAATATCATTTGACCCAGCAATCCCATTACTGGGTATATACCCAAAAGAATATAAATCATTCTACTATAAAGACACATGCACATGTATATTTATTGCAGCACTGTTTACAATAGCAAAGACACGGAACCAACCCAAATGCCCATCAATGATAGACTAGATAAGGAAAATGTGGTACATATACACCATGGAATACTATGCTGCCATAAAAGGGAATGAGGTCATGTCCTTTGCAGGGATATGGATGAAGCTGGAAGCCATCATCCTCAGCAAACTAACACAGGAACAGAAAACCAAACAACTCATGTTCTCACTCATAATGGGGAGTTGAACATTGAGAACAGATGGACACAGAGAGGGGAACAACACACACCAGGGCCTGTTAGGGAGTGGGGGTGCGAGGAGGGAACTTAGAGGACGGGTCCATAGGTGCGGCAACCACCATAGCACACGTATATCTATGTAACAAACCTGCATGTTCTGCACATGAATCTCTTTGTGTGTGTGTGTGTGTGTGTGTGTGTGTGTGTGTGTGTATGGTTTTTTTAAAGAAGAAGTTAAAAAAAAAAAAAAAAACCCAAAAACAAGCCCTCAGAGATCTCCAGGGCTTGGCTGCAGAGTAAATCATCGCCATCATCATCACCATCACCATCATCATCACCATCACCATCATCATCACCATCACCATCATCATCACTATCATCACGACTACATTAGTGCTTACTGCATGCCAGGCACTATTCTGACCACTTCATATGTGTTAACTCATTTAATCCTCATAACCACCCTGTGAGGTAGCTACTGGTGTATCCCCACTTTACAAATGAGGTAACGGGGGCACAAAGATGATATGTAGTGTGTTCAAGATCACACAGAGAAAAAATCCATCCTTTTCGGCTTGTTTATGGAGCCCTTCCATGAATGTCCTCTACCTCCTCTCTGCTCCAATCACATAAGCCTTTCTCCTGTTTCTCAACACTTCATCCTCTTTCCCATTTCCCTGCCTTTGTGCCTGCTGTTCCCTCTACTTGGAATGTTGTTAACCCTTCATTTATTTGATTAACTCACACTCAACTGTCCAGACTCCATTCCCAAACCATTATCTCTGGGAGGACTAAAAATTCTCTGGGCAGAGTTGGTCACTTCCAGCTCTGTGGTGACACCTGCCCTGTCACAGGACAGTCTCTGCTCCACTGCACAACAGATTCTGCTATTCTGCTTATATATCTGTGTCCTCTACAGGGTGATGAGCTCCCTAAAATCAGAAAGCATCTCTCCTTTATTTCTGTTTCTTCGCATTTATCAGGGGCCTGCTATACAGTAGGTTATTAAAAAATGTTTGTTGAAGGAGCCAATTAACCAGACACTCCATGAGGTCAGGGACCACACCCTTCTTCTGTGCTGCGGACCCAACCTCTAGCACAAACACATAGGAAGCTCTCAATTGATACTTGAATGGAAAAATTAACTGGATCATCATGGTTTTGTGAAATTCAACCAAGCAGAACTTCCTATTTTTCATTTCCTCATTTGTAGGCAGTGGTTTCAGCAGCAGCAACTTGGGATCTCTTAATATTTAATAATTTTTTCATTCACAGTTAAGGCATGAGTGTTCTTGGTTTCTCTTTGACCTCATTTTGAAAATCTGAAAATTAAGTATCTTGAGCACAGATTAATAATAACACATCCCTATTGAATTTTAGGGCACTCTCTCTGTTTGTAATTTAATATATTCTTATTTTTAGATTAAAGAGATATTTAGTTATCACCCATATTCATTAAGAATGAAAAATAGAGTTACATTCCATTTTATAAGTATCGATATGTTCAGATGAGTGAGATCAAATATTTTGTAACGTAAAAATTACTTTTCACTGATTGAGACCAAAGAGGAGAAGCTGGGTAAGGAGAGTGTCCTGTGCCATGGCTGCCTTGGCCTGGAACATTTACCTGCTGGCCGGGCTTGATGGGTGACAGCGTGATGCCCTGGGTGTTGATCACGGGCAGGATCTGGTTCCCAATGACTGTGGCGATGATCTGGCCCTGGGCGTTTGTTAGGAGCTGGGGGGTGATTGGCTGCACTTGCAAGCCCTGAGTGCCGCTCGCTGCTTGGCTCGATGGCCCTGGATTAGGCATCAGTGGAATGGTCCCGATAATCTGCAAGAGACAGGCCCAAAGGTGAAGAGCTGGCTCCGTGAAGGGTCTGCGCATGCAACTGAAGACCATGCAGTGCCTGGTCTCTGTAGGATGCTCCCTGGGAGCTGACTCAGAATCTGCAAGCAGCTCTGGAGGAGGGTGCGGTGGAAGAAAGTGGCAGGGGCAGGCATCTAAAGAAGAGGTAAATACACATGAACTGAGTTCATGGGATGGAAGGGAGAAACATCTTATGTAAAAATAAAATCAAGCATCTGTTAAGATATAAACATGCAGTTTTTGCCAGGGCAGGTCTGACATCTGCTTTTTCTCAGAACCAGAGGGAGGATGGGCTTCTCACAGCACTCAAGGCCCTCTTCCACCTGGGAAGCTGCATCCCACCGCCCCCCAAACCTGGGTGGCTCCACACTCCCTGAACTAAAGGGGATCCTTTGACATTCTTTCCTCTGCCTCCTTCCCTCCACCGACATTCAGCTCCTCTCCCAAGGCTGGGGGAGGGGCTCCCTGATACTCGCAGCAGGATTGGGGCCTCACACACCCTGGTGTTTACAGTGGTGGAGAGCCTGGACTCTCAGAGTGACAGGATTCCATTCCCAGCTGTGCCACTTACTGGCTGTGGCACATTTGTCAAGGGACCTAAGCTTTCTGAAGGCTTGAGAGAATTGAGATTATAAACAAGTTTTTGAAACTCTTAAAATAGAGGTGAAATGACTACTGAGGACTGAAATCAGAAAGAAAGTGCCTTTGAAATGATGTGTTGTAAAGCCACGGCCTAAAGGTGAGGGGCTTGGGGCTTCTGTGGCAGGTGGCAGGGGAGGCTCTTCTCTGCATCCAGTGGCTTCTGGCTTCAGCGAGGGACCGTGGGGACAGACTGCAGGAGGGGCCTGGCCAGATCCAATTACTGTGCCAAGGAGAAAGGCACCATGAATAGAAACAGCAAATGGACAGACTGGGTGTCCACAGAATCTGGAAATAGAGACCATATTGTTAGGGACACACTGTTAGTGACAGATGTAATCTGTAAAAACCTAAAACATGATCTCTATTTCCAACTGTGGTGGCATCTCCTGAGAAGCGACGTGGTGCTGGCCGTGTGGATGCTTTTCTGCCTCCACACACGGTAGGATGGTTACGCAGCTCTGCTTTGCTGGTCGCCTTCAAGGGCTCTGGCTCCCAGAGGTGAAATCTGGTGACCTGACCTGGGGGCCACCAGGACACAGTAATAAGATCTCAGTAAGTGTTTTCACACATATGATTTCTCTGCATTCTGTATTCTTACAACACCTCTGTAAGTAATATTTGTCATGCCTCTGCTTACTAGACAAGACACAGGGGCACAGGGAGGCCAAGCAACTCAGTTGAGTCTCTTCACAGAAGCATTTGTAAGTGACAGTCTGGGGCTACAGTCCAGGTCTGGTTGACCCCAAGCGCTTGCTTTTCCATCCTTCCCCCTAGCTCCCACAACATGGAGAACCTTGGAGGGTGCCAGCTCTTAAAAAAAGTACTGTGTATCTTGTTTGCAATTTCCCACTAAATGAAAGGCTGCTGGTGGGCTGGGTTTGTAAATGATACTGCTTTCTACCCACACAATACCCCAAGCAGTGCTTTGAACATAGTTTCTCAGTAAATGTTTTTTGACTGAATGGTTTCTAGGTTCAGCTGTCACTGGGACTCCAGATGCAGCTGGAACCATAGGAGAACTGCAAGACTATGCCATTCAGTGACAGATCGTGCTGGAGAAATCCTCCTCATCTCGAGGCCATTGCTTCCACCACAAAAGCCCCTGTGGGATGACACTAATGGAGGACCTGTGCGGATATCAAGTATCAATGGCATTTGTCAATGGAGGCCGATAAAGGTCAAGTAATTACTGTGAGAGTGGTCAGCTCTCCCCTAGGGATTGTGGCAGGGCTGCAGTCTCACTGAGCAAGCCCACAATGCCTGGCCCGCAGCATCAGCAATGAGCACGTCCCATCAGTGCGGGCAAGGTCAGGAGGCATCCACATCAATAGATCATAGCGCATAAGTACTTTATTGATGAGTGGTCTTGCATTAAACAGCCAGGATTCAAAGGCTGGCTCCTGTGACCCCACAGGCAAGGTAAGAGAGGCCCAGGAACAGGCCTCCCATCTTCAGCCTATGTTGGATAACTCCCCTTTCCACACATGCACAATAAAAACTCAGCCACTGACCCACCCACTCTGGCCTTCCCCAGTGTCTTAGGCCTTTGCAGCCTCATTTCATCCTATCAGCCTGAGCTGAAAGCCTGGGGAAGCTGGATGCATCTATGGGGCAGGGCTGTGGGTCCTGTTTGGGGCAGGGTGTCATTGCGATTAAGAGCCAGTGGGAGCAAGTATCCTGAGAGAATGGCTCAGGGTGAGCACAGCACATGACAGTTATAGAACACACTGTGATGAAGAGAGAGGCGTTCTGTCCTGGGAAGATTGACACCAGCCTGTGCTTGCCTCCGCGGTAATGAAATACTCTGCCTGCTTCCTGGGTGGAAAGAAGAAGAAAGGCAAATGCAAACAAGTCATCAGCCTCTTCCTTAAGCACAACGTCACTCTCAGCTGTGTGCCACCACATTACTAAAACATGGTGCTGCCTATGTTCCTACCCACCCTGTCCTCTCTTCTTTTCTAGGCCTGAGCATCACTTATCAAGGATAGGATAACAGTAGTGTCAGAGCCAGAGGAATCTGTAATGACCTGACTATTGGTGCCTTTAACAAGGAGAGTCTGCCTTTGAGGTGGAGGTGGGGGATCAGGAGCAGTTCTAAAGTCAGGAAGCCTGTGGTGACACTATGCATTTCTTATTTTTGTTCCTCTTTCAGGGGCATTGGGGTCACCATCTCAACGTGTCAAAAACTCGGTAGTGCATTATGGGGAATTTCGTCATATTCCCGAATGTATCACAATACGTTGGTTTCAATTGGCTCCCATTCATTGAAGGGTAAAGATGGTCACACACTGTGTCATCTAAATATTCTCTGATGTGCCTGTTTTGCTCACGCTGGCTCTGATTCCTCTTAGCACCGCCACAGATCTAATCAGAACTCCTCCATGGGCTTTGACTTCACAGAGGTTGCAAGAAGGGAACCGGGGGAGCTGAGATGGCAAAGATCTGAGACTCTCTGTACTCATGAGAAGTTATCCATTTCACCTGTGGAAATCATATGTTAAATTAAAGGCCTTTAGATACTCAAGGAAAGTATTTGCATCTACATATGTTTCAACTAAATCAGGAAATGAAAACGGAGGTTTGACAAGGCTGTAGGGGAATCTCTTATTTGAGAGTAAAGGTAGAAAGAGGATGCTTTTGGGACACTTGCGGTCCTAAAACTAGCTTTTGGAGTTTGACTTCCCAGCTCCCACAAGCTAAGATTTACTGCTAGGAGAAGTCCTGATGGAAGGATTTGCCACTGAGCACACGGACAGCTAGGCTGTGACTCCTGTTCAAGCCACTCAATGTACAAGACAGATTTATGTTCTCCTGAAATGCCGAGGATTCCTGCAGAGCAGCCTAATACCTGTAGATCCTTCTCTCTATAAACACTGTGTCAAGTGCCATGAAGGATGCCAAAAAGATGCAACTGGGGCAGGGGAGGGGTAAACAAGACAGGTACTTTGAATGCAGAGATTCCAACAACCCAAGGGTGGAAATGATGAGCACCAAATGAGTAGCAAGTACTCTCTGAGAAAAATCTCTATACCTACATGGTGGGTATGCAAAACACTATTGGAAATGAATGAGTTACTTCCGAGGAAGAAGGGTGGGTATGGTTCAAGAGGCCTTCACAGAAGACATGGGGGCCAAGCAGGGTCTGAAGGTTGGGTACAATTTGGGGAAGGCAGAGAAACCATTCCAAACAAGACATCAGCCTAAAGGTCAGAAACATGGGGGATGGGGAGTTGGATGCAAGAAAAGATTGAGACAGGTTAGCCTGGGAGGGTCAAATTCCATCCAGCCAAGGGGTTCTGATGAGTGAGTTTTGACGGGAGTGTAGTGGAGTGCTGAAATGGAGCTATTCCGTGCGAATGTCACTGTCTGGACAGAATGGACTCAAGTGGTGAGGGACTACAGATCTGGAAATCAGTTGTAGACCTAGGATGCTGCTGTAGTGTCCAAGCGTGAAGCAAAATGCCTCAATGACTCCTTGGCAGAGGATTTGCTTGATTCACTAACTTCTGCTTCAATTCAAAAAGTATGGCCTACTCTCTGCCTAGGTTGCAACATTAGAAAATTTTCAGTTAAGTTATTGCCCTGTGAATCTCATAGCAAATAGCTGAGGCATTGTTTGCAATGATCCTCTATGTCTTTACCCCGATTCTCCACTAGTGATGATTCATCCCTGAAAAATGCTTTAACCAGGCCAAAGCCCATACCAGTATTATAATAATAATTTGTGACCTAAAAGAGTCTGGCTTCTCTGAAACAGGACTTACTTGGTTGTTGCTGTGAATGTCCATCTATCTCTTTCCTTAAATGAGTTAAGAGCATAAATCACAAAAGAGGAATAAAGGTCATATAGTAAGAGCAACTAAAAAAAAAATCATTCAAATAGTGGTGTTTGCTAGCACACATATTTAAAAGATCCCCGTTTCCCTAAGAACTTGAGTGGCTTAGGTCCAAATGTGACTATCACTAATTCAGCAGCTATTACAACTTAAGCCATAATGAAGATTAGCTTGCAGTTGTAGCAAACCCCAGCAATTCAGGGTTCTGAAGCCCCTTTTGAGTCATGAGGTTATCATTACACTGCCCTCATGTGCCTCAGTCTAGTTGAGGCAGTCAATAGAGATGAATCATGACTGATGGTGGGTAAAGTGTCCTGAATGTATTCACTGCTGACGGGTGCATGTCATCAGCAGAAGTCTGAGAGTTCTGTCACAGAAGCCCAGGACATTCAGATAAGTCATCTGATAGGCCACATGTTGTTATAGCCAATGATATGCTGTTAAACTCTGTGATGGAGAATGTGATTACAGATGTCAAATTGACAA